GTGTATAATTCTTTCACCTCATTGGTTAGATTTATTCCCAGATATTTATTACTTTGGGTGCTATTTTAAAGGGGATTGTTTCTTTACTTTCTTTTTCTGTTGGTTCATCATTAGTGTAAAGAAATGAAACTGATTTTTGAATGTTAATCTTGTAACCTGCTACCTTGCTGAATTCTTCAATCAGCTCTAGTAGTTTTTGTGTGGACCTTTTAGGGTTTTCTATATATAGTAACATGTCGTTGGCATATAGTGACACTTTCACCTCTTCTTTTCCAATTTGGATCCCTTTTATTTCTCTGTCTTGCCTGATTGTTGTGGCTAGGACTTCCAGGACTATGTTGAATAGGAGTGGTGATAGTGGGCATCCTTGTCTTGTCCCAGATTGTAGTGGGAAGCTTTTGAGCTTTTCACCATTGAGTACTATGTTGGCTGTAGGTTTGTCATATATAGCTTTTATTATGTTGAGATATGTTCCCTCTATACTCACTTTGGTGAGAATTTTTATCATAGATGGGTGTTGAATTTTATCAAATGCTTTTTCTGCATCTATTGAGATGATCATGTGGTTTTTGTCCTTTCTCTTGTTGATGTGATGGATTACATTGATTGATTTGCGTATGTTGAACCACCCTTGTGTCCCTGGGATGAACCCCACTTGGTCATGATTCATATGAGTAAATTTTAAATGCACACATGTATATTAAGACCTCATACAAAGGATGAAATAAAAAGAATGGAGGGTACAAGGTAGTATCTGGCAGAGTTAATGTCAGCTAACTGTGAGAACCTACTGGATTCCTGATACTCATCTAAGGGCTTTAATGGATTAATTAGATTGGATGAATTCATTCATTCAATTCTCACAACAGGCCCACGAGGCAAGTACTCTTATCATTCCCATTTTACAAATTAGGAAGCAGGAACAAAGAGGTTTAGGAACTTGTCCATGGTTATTAATGGTGGCAGAACTCTGTGCCAGAATCCATGCTCTAACCACTATTTCATTGTCTCCCAGGAAGCATGCATTCTACCTGGGAAGGCAGGAAAGAAACATATTCAGTATCAACCAGAGTTGGTACCAATCAAAGAGCTCTCTTAAAGTAATATATGATTTTTCTTTTTGCAAAAATAGACAATAATTACTGTTAGAGCTCAAAGAGGGGAAAGGCAAGTTCTGCCTGGGATGGAGCTGACCAGAAAGCAGGATGGCGGCTTTGCCACAACAGCAATGCTGGAAGCAAGAAATTAGGGAGCAATACCTTCAAAATGTTGAAGGAAATGATTTCTAAGCTAGAATTCTATGCACAGTCCGACTGAAAATGAGATTTGAGTGTAAAGACATACAAGGTCTCAAAAATATATCTCCACCTCCCAATGCCCAGGCTTAGGATACTGCTAGAGAATGTCCTTCTTCAAAATGAGGGAATATTGTATCTCTCTGAGATGATGGGTGTTCACTAAACTTACTGTGATGTTATTTTATGACGTGTGTAAGTCAAGTCATTATGTCATATGCCTTCAACTTCTATAGTACTTGTATGTCAGTTATATTGTAATAAAACTGGAGGAAAGAAATTCAACCAAAAAAAAAAAACAAAGAAAGTAAAATTCAATATAAGAAGATGCACAAAATTGAAAACAGGATAGCCAGCTGAGAGGAGAAACAGAGAGAACTCCTGGAACAGTCATTGTGGTGTGGAGAATCATAATTCAGAACTGAAGGGCAGCCGTGCAGATTGAAGAAGCATGACTCAGAGACAAGCTTTTGGGAGCTGGCATTACCATGCCTGCGGCTGCTGAACCATCTTTTTAATCAGAGGAAACTCCTGGAGAAGGTGTCAACCCAAACAAGGGAAAAATTGTAAGAAAGAGGAAGGTATGAGACCCAGGCACTGGGGAAGCCAATCCTAGGGGAAGGCAGAGGGAATCTCAAGTGTGGTAGAAAACAAAAGGCCAGAATGACAACTGAGCAGCAGGTCTAAAGGGAAACCTGCCTGGAGAAGAAAGAATGTTTAAACAGATTTTTACCTGGTACCACTGACATATGGCACATTGTACTGAGGTGTTATTGAAAACAGTTGGAAAAATTAGCAAAAAGCAAATAAAGTAAATGAAAAAGCAAGACAGTTATTAACTTCAGAACAAAACTAAAAGTAGAAGGGAAAATGATCACAATATATCATAATGCTTTTATTTGAAGATTTGTCTAGCAAATGAATGGAAACACTGAATATGGAGTTAACCATAAATTGTAATCTAATCACATCAGGAAGCTATAAGAAGAGAAGTTGGGGATGGCAGCCTGAAAGAGCTACATCCTTTTCTACCATAATAGGAAACATCTAAATCATTAAAACTGATTTTAAACACACACCAGTATTCGCATTATATTGAGAAACTAGATACTTCAAAATGTCATAAAAAACTGCCAGAAGAGTCAAAAGTGATTATTTCTCGTGAGCAAGACAATATTTTTAAAAATAAGCTTTTAGTATTATTTGAAATTTTAAATTACATATATGAATTATTTTAAAAAAATAACATTCAAAAATTTAAAGTGTCCATG